TGTGTGTGTGTGTGTGTATGTGTGTAGTTTCGTGTGGGCCTGTGTGTTTGAGTCTGTGTTTGTGTGTGTGTTTCTGTTTTTGTTTATGGATATATTTTGGGCAGCGCAAATGATATTTTTATATTGTCATCTTGATAGTTTGCTTGTACGAAATCTTTACGATAAACAAACTTGGTTTTTGTTAAATACTATGATTATTTGGCGTGTATTTGTCTGCATATAGCTATCGACTGATGGTTTCTTTTCTCATCTTCACCAATAGCGCCCGGAGATGCCCTTCCCTCTAAGCCGAATCAAAAGCTTATGCATTTCATCCGGCATGGACAGGTCAGTAGTATTACAGCTCAATCGCATGCTTGCGTCCCACACGTCTTCGCAACACGGCCAGTCTCAGGTACAAACCGTAGTGAATACAGTCACATGTATGCCTCACTGTACTTGACTTTTAGGGCGAGCACAATCTGGAATCGGAGAGATCTGGTAAGCATTGCACTTGCAAGCCACCAATCCCTGGCCCAGACTGTCCCTACCAGCAACCACATCTATTAGACCCACAGCTCACAGAACTGGGCAGGGAGCAGGCGATAGCGAACCAGCCGACGACAAAGGTATCAATAGCAGACTATTTGACGGGTTAGAGTGTGGGTTGATGCGCCCTGCATCATTGTTCAGTTGTAGAACGTACACGAAACAGTGATGCAGGACGTAGGCTGATGTCCTATATATCACTGTTTAGTTTCAATCCGTGAGAAGAATAAGCTCTTCCTTTGTATACGTTGCGGCTTAGGGAGTGCCAGATACTAAATGCTGATTGAACCTGCAATTGATGTGTGTATTGTGAAAGCACAACACGCTAGCCCTACAGCTACCATGAATGAAGTCAATGATGATATCCTAAAGTGCATGCACCCCATACTGTGTAGCTGACCAGTATATTGGACGAGATGTGAAGGCACGGCCAGCCTGCTAATCCAAAGCCTAGAATAGATCTTATAATATTAAAGTCGTCGCAGAATTACAACACATGTCTTTTCTTTTATTATGTGTCGCACCGTGGGAAAGCACAGCCCATCTGTCTTTTGATGTCAAGGCTAGCATTGAACCCTTTTTTCGAAAGCCTCTAGAGAGTACTTATGTGCTCCGAAACTCAACCCACGTACTTGACTCCGATGTACATGCAGCAATTGAACCCGACAGTGGTGATAGTCTCGCCACTCACTCGCGCGACAGAGACGGGGCTACTGTCGTTTCAGCATCTGCGTGAGGTTAGTGTTCCTGTTGAACGGACGGTGTGTGCATGTCACTGGGCCGGAACGGGTGTATACGTGGACCGTACTTCCACCGTTCGATGTAATGCTCGTGGTATGCTTATCATCGATGCTCTCACCTCACGCGGGGTGTTAGTGAGGCTTTGTAGTTGCGGGTTTCACACCTAGCTATGCTGGTATGCTTTTACGGCTGTATTTGTCATGTATTATACCCGTGGACTCGGCTTGAACACAAACTCTCCCCGTGTATGATACTGATACACATCAACACCTTGGACGTATCATATGGGCTGGTTTATACTCAAACTCTGTGTTATTTGTCTTCCCAAATATATAGCTCTGTGTTAACACCTGATTTATATCTGTATATCTTCCTTCCTTCGACTATATACAGACATCTGGCATTTTCCTGGCGCACAGTGGCGTTAGGGAGATATCGGGTCTTCATATTTGTGACAAGTACCATGAGATAGAGAAGAGTATGATTCTCTATCCCGAAGTCGATTATTCGTATGTTATCTGTTCTATGCACTATTGTTCCTTTCCCATTTTAGCCGCTCCTCGCATATGCACTTTACGATGCATCTTTTTTAGTGGCCTCTAGCGACTTGGAATGTAAAAATGACCACGACAATTGCATTGATTTGTCAGTTTGTCAGCAGTATGGGTTATAAATAGGGCGGACATCCCTCAAATCGGTGGAAGGCCAAATTGTTTTCCCAAGTTTCACACTTCCAACTTTATATGCTGTGCTTATATAATATTTAACCAGTTTTTGTCTTCTGAAGGATGACAGGTCCAAAACAGATACTATATGTGTGCTTGCCCGAATAGTATATTCATACTTCTACTACAATTTCGATGCAGCTTGGTAGATCCCGTTGACATTTACTGGACACCGGGTGTGCGAGAGGAACGCAGGCTGTTGATTGAGCGTGCGTATGATTTTATGCTTTACCTGAGGACGAGAGACGACACCGAAATTGGTACGTGGTACCGAACGTATATGAACTACTATGTAACATATTGTGAACGTTTATGGACTACTATGTAACCTATTGAGAACGTTCATAAACTACTATGTATCATATTGTGAACGTTTATGGACTGCTATGCAACCTATTGTGTATGTGAGCAGAGCGTATTCTCGTGGAGTTGTGGAGAGCCATTGTCACCACAAGTGATTAAATCGAGGCGACCGTACAGCAGGTTGTTAAAATAGAAGGTTTATCGCTACATGTATCTATATATATACTTTACACATATATACATCATCGCCCACCGTGTGCCCATTTACCCGTGATCTTTAAGTATGTATATACTTGTATACTTTATATATATATATATACATGCTTTACGTATTTATACTTCATTGCCGACCATGTACTCATTTACCCGTGATCTTTAAGTATGTATGTATATACTTTATATATGTATATGTATATGTATACATAT